GGTGTTTTTCCCCCATTGTTGTGTTGGTAGCGCTGTGCTTTTGCTATTTTTGTGGCATCAGAATCATTCTGTGTTTGTCATGCTCCATTTGGTTGCAGTGGAGATGACTGTCAGAGAAATACAATTTTCCAGGCATTAATTGAAACGATGGCTTCATATTCAGTGTGCAGAAACTGGCAGATGTAGATAAGGAAYAGAGAATATTCATTAAGTGGCATTTCTCCAGTTTTGTGTTCTCTTTCTCCCTCCAAAAAAGCAACAATGCCAGATTAAATCATAAATGAATTTAATATACTGCACAACATTGTAGAAAATGTATGTGATGCAATTGCTTTTATTCTCCCACAAATTTGAAACAAATTTTGGGGAAATTTTTTGGAAAATGACACCTTAAGCAATTACTTAAGTGTTGGAAGCATCAATGCATTTTCACCGTGTTTCCTGAACCTGTGTGCAATATTTGTGTATAAATGTAACCCAAATCTGCACATCTGYTCTCAACACTTGGGTCAAGCAAAGTTGTACTGCACAGCTTTGACCTAGAAAAGCACTTAAATAAAATATTCATGCTTGTGTGGAGAAATGAACCTAAACCCAGGCAGGCTGTGACTTTTATCATCACACGGAGCAGAAGATGGGAGGCTGGGAATATCTGGGATCCATTCACGGTTTTCAGTCCCTGTTGGTTCTTCTGCGCTGCCCCCGATGTTTGATATGCTCACACAGAGCTGACATTTTGAATGGGCTCCATTTGAATGCTGTCATTGCTGTCCCAGGGCTCGAGGGATGAGGGAGAGCCCAAGGAGGGACATTCAGGAGGTGAAGTTGGGGTGTTTAACGTGACAAAACCCCGGTACATGARCAGGGCCAGCAGGAAAGGGCTCTCCAGGCTCAGAAGCTGCTGGGGGAGGTGCCCCGTGTGCCTTCACCATCTGGGCACCAYGAGCCACCTCCAGCCTGGCCAAGCCCAGCCTTGCTCAGAGCACCCCTAGAACAGGTCAAACAACCATTCTTGGAAAAGGTCAGGAGGGCCCCTCTTGTGCCTTCTTGGATATTCTGGGAGTTTATGGAAGCTTTGCAGAACCAGCCTCCTGCCTCGCCTCATTTCCCCTGAGCTTTGTCATTTAGGTGCTCTTTGCTGTCCCTTTCTGRTCTGATTTCATCAGGTTTCTCCATGCTCTCCTTTCCTTTCTCTTTCTCAATTTAAGTGTTTGTTCATTTCTGGCATTCAGTAGGAATTAAACCACCCCCAAAATTTTGCAGAACAGGATTCTGAGTGGTGGCCAGGTCATGGGAGAAGGGAAACCTTTTGGTTTGAGCTGAACAGTGATTGTCATTTTCCAGGATTTTGAATGATTTACAAGGAAATAAATTCCATTACTAAAAATGAGTATACTCTGCTTTTTAGATGAGATTGACTGGGTGAGTAATTTCACCAAGACCTCCAGGAAAGAATAAAATAATCCGTGTGATTTTACCCTTGCTTGTGATTCTTAAGAAAAATAATCTTAACAAAAAGGAATGGGTCTGAATGTGCAATGTCTAAATTTCAGGATTACAGGGACTGAAATCTGGAAAATAAGGGTGACCCTGGGTGCTTTGGACAGTCTGTTCCTCAGCCTTATGGTGTCTAAATGCACAATTTTTACCTCATGGAAAGAACAGCTCTTTGAGTTCCAGCCTCTGTTTTGCTGTGTAGGTTCCTCAGGTGTTTCACACACTCCACAAACACGGGGCAGAGTCTGTGCTCCGTGTCCTCCTGGGTGCAGGGCATCATTGCAAACTCGGGAATCCTTCATGTCTCAGTAAATGGGATTGTGATCATTGGAAAYTCCTGCATGTTTTCCCTGTGTGTTGCAGCCCTCTGTGCCGTGCTGGTGAGCTCTGTTCATGTGCTGAGCTGCTGGAGCTGACCACCACCGAGCACATATGATCTGCAAAACCGGCCTCTTTCAGACCTCTCTTCCTTCCACTCTTGCAGTTTGTCCTTTCAGAGTTTTCTGTTGCTGCTTGAGGATGTGTCAGGTAAAACTTTCTGCCCCAAATCCTTGTCACTGGTGCCCGTGGAATTTCCCCTTCACGTGTGAGGTTGAGTTGGTTCAGTTTTGGGGGTGTAATGCAAATGGTTGGGTGCCTTTTGAACAAATCCTGTGAGGAGGAGCTGAGGGAGCTGGAAAGGGGCTCAGCCTGGAGCAAAGGGGGATCAGGGGGGACATTGTGGCTCTGCACAACTCCCTGACAGGAGGGGACAGCCGGGGGGGTCGGGCTGTGCTCCAGGGAACAGGGACAGGAGGAGAGGGAACGGCTCAGGCTGGGCCAGGACAGGGTGGATTTTGGGGAAAATTTCTCCATGGAAGGGCTGTGAAGGCCTGGAGGAAGCTCCCCAGGGGAGTGGTGGAGTCCCCATCCCTGGCAGCATCCAAAACCATGCAGATGTGGKGCCTGGGGATGGGGTGGGCCTGGCAGTAGTAGGTTAAGAGTTGGGTTCAGTTCTCCTAGAGGCCTTTCCCAACCATATTGATGTTGTGATTGTCTGGTTTTTAGTGAGAATCTCACCTTTAGGCAGCTCTCTGGAGCTGCTCAGACTGGTTTGCTTTGTGCTGGTGGTTGTCCTGTGCCAGATGCCACCAGCAGTGAGTGGCTGTCTGACCCCTCTGGTGTGCTGCCCACACCTCTGTGACCTCTGTGGGGTCACAAAAAGGCAGCGCCCCAATGGCTGCAGTCCCCGTGGCAGAGGGGAAAGGCTTTCCCTGCCTGGGAGCTGAGAGGAGTGTGAACCCTGCAGGAGGAGCAGACCCTTCCTGCTGGCCGGACCCGGCTGTCCCAGTGTCACCTCCGTCTGCGGGAGGGGCTCGTGTTTCTCAGCAGCCCGGGGGAAATGAAACTTTGATGAGTTACCCAAGAGGCAGCAGCAGCCGGGCTGTAAGGAGACACTGCAGGAAAGGTGAGTCAGGGCTGCCTCGGGCAGGGCTGGTACAGCCGGGACAGCATCGCCTTCGTCCCGAGGGATGGAGGAACCGCCCGCCAGGGATGGAGGGCTCGGAGCTGCTGGGGACCCACCCCAGACTGTCAGAGCCCCAAGAGCCTGCCTGGCATTCCCTGACAGCATGAGGGGTGTTTGCAGRGCTTCCCATTCCTGGGGTGTGCCCTGTGCTTTGGAGGAGGCAGGATTCTCACCGAGCTGCCCGAGCCCAGTGATACATTAGGATTTTTCGTTTCTATATTTTCATGCATCTGTATTCTTGTACTTCTCTAGTACAGCACAAAAAACTACCATTTTCCCATCTTTAGACAAAACAACTCCTCTCTGAGCCTGAATCCAAGGGCACCTCAGAGCCCCAAAATATGGAAACAACAGTGAGTTAGGGGGGGASCAAGTTTGGGGTGGTTGACATCATYACCTGTAAAGATCATTGCAGAATTAAGACTCAATATGTTAATAAGGCAGAACTTGGAAAAGGTGAAGATCTCGTGACCTGGTGTCCATTTTGGGTGTAGCWTCAGGAGGAGGCTTTGTCTCCCCTAATGTACCAGTAGGCCTGTTAGGCCTGGRTTAAAGTTGTGTATTCTCATTCTCTTAAAAACTTAACTGGCCTCTCTTTCAGATTAGTCTGATTGATAAGGCATCACCAGGAATCGCTACAGAGTGGTGTTGATGGGTTCCTTCCTTGCAGCCACCTTGGTGCTCCTCCCAGCTCAGCTTCGGTGTTTTCCTGGTGTCTTGTATGATAAATAGCCATAAATAACCATAAATAATCATAAATAATCATAAATAACCATAAATCACTTTATCTTGCTGATAACATTCAAACCCTACAGTTTGGTAGATGTTCCATCTGGGTCGGTCTCTCTCCAAACAAGACGAGAGGAAACAGCCTCCAGCCTCCAGCTGCACCAAGGGAGGTTTAAATTCAATATTAGGAAAATATCTCCTTRGGAAGGGTTGACCAGCAGAGGAAGAGATTGTGCAGGGAAGTGGTGGAGTCACCACCCCTGGAGGGATTTCCAAGATGTGTAGGTGACACTTGGGGACAGGGGTGGTGGCGTCTTTGGCAGACTGGGGGAGCTGCTGGACTTGGTGATCCTAAAGGGCTTTCCCAGTCTAACCAATTCTGTGACTCAGGTATTGTTTGGCAGGTCTATGGAACAGTTATTGCAGTTTTTATTCTGCTCACACGGATATTTGGGCTCAGTTGTTTTACCCTGACACTTGCAAGATTTAAAAAAACCAAATTTGTTTGTTTTTGGTTTTGTTTGTTTTGCTGGAAAGGCACTAGATGTGCATACTTTCATTATATTTTAAAAAGAGGGGAAAAAGCACCCAAGTGGATTGTTCAGCCCAACCACACATTGCACCCCGTGTCCTTAAAATTAAATGTTCTTAAACTGAAGCATCATGAGAAACACATGGAACCAAGTCGGGTCCTTTTGCCTTTCTGTGCATGTTTAACTTGTCACATTGCCTTTTTCCCGTGACAAAAATGYGATGCAGCCCATTCCAGGGATGAGCTGAAGTCCATTTGCAGCCAGAGGCTGCTTTGACATAGCAGAAGGGAGGCTTTATTGATTTATCCTTTGCATTCAGAACAAAGATTTGTGTGATGTTCCTCAGGTATTACCAGAAGCTTCCATCAGCTATTCCAGCCTTATCCCAAACCTCATTTCTTTGTGCTTTRGGATTTATTTCAGAAGTCACTGCTCATATGTATGTGTGTATATACATAGGTGYTATTAAAGTAAACCTCTGAATTCAAGGATCTTTTTTTATAATTAAACCTGGCAGGAATTAGTGCTAAATGGAGCTCRTGAGAATTCTGTTCAGGATATTAGGACAAATCCTCTGCTGCAAAGGCACCATTTATGTGTAATATCCACCTGTTTGTTAATATGCCATAGGTGCTGCAGCTTGGAATTTTTCTTGGGAGAAGTAATTKGTAGGAATGTGTTTTCCATTTCACTGCAATTTGACTTGATTTTATTTTGTTTCCTTTTCTTTACAGGATTAGCCGGCACTGCTGCAGACCTAGAAAAAAGAAAGCTTATTTTTGGAAAAAATTTTATACCTCCAAAGAAGCCAAAAACATTCATACAGCTAGTTTGGGAAGCGTTGCAGGACGTGACTCTTATAATCTTGGAAATTGCAGCCATCATATCTTTGGGGCTTTCGTTTTATCAGCCACCTGGAGAAGGGAATGAAGGTAAAAACTCTTTTCGTAGGAGTTATCTGAGTTGAAGCAAAGCGTGTCCTATATCTCAAATCAATTCCATCACCACCCCTCAGAAGGTCACTAACAGGAAATTTCCATGGGGTTTGTTCCTGATCCCATTACATCTGCTACTGACATATTTTTCTTTTCATCTTGACATTTCTTTATGCAAATACTGAACCTCATGACGTKAGTTAAAGAAAAATCATAATATTCTTATAAAACTGGCGTGGTTTTGATACAGTTTTCACCCCTGAGCTTGTATTTGGTGTGTGTTTGATTCATCTTTTGTGGCTGTTTCTCACGTATTAGAGATGAGAAATATGTAATTGCTTATGTAACGGCWGGATCCCATCACAGGAACATGGACGAGCCTCCAGTTTACACCAGATGAAGGCTTGAACTCGGTGAGATTCACACATTTTTGTATTTTTAGTGGTGCAGCCCAGGCTCGTGAGCCTGGCTCCAAAGGGAGTACTGAGGCACAGTGCTGSTGCTGATAAATATTCCCCACATTCTGCAGGCTCTTGCTGGCTGCAGGAAGTTTTAAAGCCCTGCCTGCCCCCCTCCTTTTTCCCCTTTCCCCCCCATCTTTGGAAAGCACTCTTGAATTCACATGCTTAAAATATTTGTTCCTCTCCATAAATGCAAGATTTCCATTTCTGGCAGCTGATCCAGATTTTTTCTGCCCCCCCTCCTGCTCTCTCCCAGACTTCTAAAGCTGGATCAAACATGCTGTGTGAAATGACGTGAGCAGCTTGGCAAATGTAGGAAGAATGTCTTCCTCTAAATATAGCCCTGAAATGCTTTTTACATTTGCTGCAGTTTCCTTTGGCTGCTTTCCTTGCAGCCCCTTCCTCCTTCCCTTTCCATTCGGCGGCACAGGCAGCACGTAGCCGTGCACAGCTCTGGGGTCATGGCTGSGATTCTTGGATCTTTTGGAAATAATTATAAATAATAATCTTGCATTGCTTTCTCTCTGAATTTTGAATAAGTGGCCACGGGTTCAGCAGGTGTTCGATTTAGGCGTGAAAAGATAAAGGAGTCGTTGCTCTTTTAATGAAGAAAATGTTCTTTATTGGAATGACCTCATAATTGGTGGGATACCTTGGGGACATTTGATGCTTTACAAAATTAGGATTTAGCTTAGACATAAATGTGCAGAGTGCCCTCTTTAATTTTTTTTAGTGGGASAGCAATTTTGAAAGCGTGATTTATCCAGGTTTTAGGAAGAGGGCAGATGTGTCATCAGGCACCAGTGGTTTCTTTCTTTCTTTTTTAAATTGTTATTCTTATTATTTTGATCCTGCATTTAAAATGTTTCTTTTCCCATGGGAAGACATGACCCAGCTGAGACTTTGAGGGAGTCTGAAAAGCTCGGCAGCACAGCCTGGGAAAATGTGTTTGTGTTTTCCCACAGCACAGCATTTTATTCAATAATTTCTGTTTTCCCTGGTTTTAGAATTGTTTCCTGGAAGGTTTTGCCCTGGTTTACACAAGGAGAATAAATCAAGTTAGTGAATGTCTTGTAATGCAATTTTTTWAACTCATTTTAAAGGTCTACTACTTTTTTCTTTGGAAGTCTATCACTGAGCAGTTGTATAAATAATTCCCTTTAATTTTAAATTGGTGTATCATTAATTGCTAAGGATASCTTTAATTTACTGGTAGATGTGTTTTTAAGGAGTCGCAAACAGTGGAAAGTGAACTCATTAAGCTTGATTTTGCTTTGCTGAAGTRGGGAGCATCCCACTTGAAATCAAATTTAATGGGTTTGCTGTCAGTACTTTCCTTTTCTGACTCTCCCCAGAATGAACATTATTCATTGAAATGCTCAGTGATTTGCAAGTTTTATGTTTTTTTTTTTCCTTGAAAAGAGTGTATTACTTCTGAAAGTACAGCCAGGTGTTACACAGGGAGCTGGCACACCTCGTTCTCCGTCCTTGATGTTGCCCAGCTCATCCCTGTTGCTGTTGGCCAAACAGCAACACAAAATAACAGACACAAAGACACACAGAAAAAGAGGGTGAAAAAGAGAGACAGTAGTACTTTATTGTGGGACAAGCCTCTTTTATCCACTTTAGCAACCACTTTTAGTGTCAAACATACATTGCTTAAGAGACAGCTGTTTAATTAATAATCAGCATATGATTGGTGAGTTTGCAAAAGCTACAGTCTTAGTAATGTTTATAATTGCTAGCTACCTGCGTTATGAATTCTACATTCCACACTCCTTTTCTCAAAAGTAGCCAACGATGAGGTATTCCTCCTCCATGCAGGCTGTTAACATTCCCTTTCTTTTCCTAAGACTCAGTCATACATGATAATTGGCTGAGTTTCAGATTCAGGACTTGTGGGGCCACATTTTTCCCCCCACACATCCCCAGGCGCTTTTGGAGTGTCTCTGGCAGTTCTGGTGGGTTCCAGGCTGTTCTGTGCAGCCCCTGGGTGATGCTGCTGGGAGCAGGGACAGGCAGCTCCGTGTGCTCTCAGGAAGGGCTGGGGGTGGCTGTGTTTGCCCAGCTTTGGGCCATGGGCTCACTGCATCATTGGCAGCTTCCCTGGGAGCAATTCCCCTCTTCACATCATGCATTCCCAACTTCATTTTTTCTTTCCACTTCCTAAAAGTTGTTGTCTTCTTGTTTTGCCTGTTGAACATGGAATAGAAAGCTGGGGATGGGCAAGTCTTCCCACAGCTCCACAAAAACTCTCTTTTTCTTAACAGGACACTATTTTGGATTGTTTTATAGCACATAAGGTGCCTTCTCTTTAAAATTCTAATTTTTCTTTTTTTTTTTTCCCAAATGAAATACATTTTCACTTTGAAAGTGAGTCAACAGGACTGTACTTTCCACAGTGATTTGTTCAATCATCAGTGCCAATATTCTGAATCCATTGACTTCTTGTTTAGGAGGAACTCAAAAGGTTGTCCCCACTGAGAAGTGGCAGTCTTGGTCTGGGGGATTAAGGGATAATAACATGGAAACAGGAGACTTTGAGACACAATGTCAGGGAAACTCCACCTTGTGTGTCTAATTGAGCATTTATCTGCCTTTATCCAATGTATTTATATCTGCCTTTCACATCTCTGAAGCTTTTATCTACCAATGGTGTTACCAGTTAATATAATTACTTGAAATCTTATTTATTTTACAAAAATTARTATAACTCTTTCTTTTTTTGACTCTTGAAACCCACTTGTAACTTTTGATACTGTAACAGTTAGCATTTCAGTTTTCTGCAGTAGAAGTGAAAAACATAYTTCTCCTGAGGCTTTGGAAGGAGAGATGCAGATAAAACCCACACAGACAGTAAATATTGGGTGAGGAACTGCTCCAGGAACCTGGTTAGGGGTGTAGCCTCAAGGATGTGTATGCGAGTTYCTGTTCCACTCCAGCTCTTCACTAAAGGTCTGGGTGAGTCTTGGAGAACATGATTTGATTTTCTGGTGCAGTCAGGGAATCTGACCCAGAGGAATCCCTGGATAGAAGTGCRGTGTTACTGCTTGTGCAGAAGCCGCTCTGGTTCTTCCAGTGCCATATTCCTGAGCGTGAGGGGAAGTTCAGGAATGTTGTTCTCAGGAGCTGTGCTGGGGTTGTTTCGATGCCTTGCATTCCCTTTCACCCTCTGACAGGCCATTAGAAGCAATTGAGAACTTGGCATAAATTATTGTCAGCCCCGTGGCAATTACTGCTCTCATTACCGAGCCACATGGAATCAGTTTTCCACCCTTGCAAAAAGTGCAGAGCTGCTGCTGTACTTCAACAAATGCACCTTGGCAGAAATTCCCAGTGCAGGTGTGGCCTCTGCTGCAGTGAGGATCACACAGGGGAGTGGCTGGGGCAGGGTAAAAATTCTTTGTTCCTCAGATAAAACCGTTCCGTGTCCTGGGTTTATGGATTAGAGACTGTTCCCTGGCCATGATGCAGAGTAGAGCGTCTGTGATGTCTCAGAGTATTTAATGAACGTGTGAGATCCTTGGCTTAATTTTTTTTTTTTTTTTTTTTGTAATGTAGATTAGAGATAGTCCAGGTCTAAATTTGAAATGTTTGTGTATTAGTGTATGGTGAAATAATTTTGATGTATGGTTTGCCCTGTTTTTAAAGGCAGTGTATGAGTAGAAAGAGCTGCTCAGGAGGGCAAGAACTGCTCTCAAACCATCACATGGCTTGAAGAAATGGAACATCCTTTGGGAAAGAGGGTTTGGACACCGAAATCCAGCCAGGGAATGGGAACTGGCAGGGCTTCTCTGGGCCATTCCCAAAGAGCTGTCTTATTGTGGCTGCAGGAATGCAAGAATCTCCTTCTTCTACCTGGTTTTTGGGGTTTTTTTTGTGGGTTTTTGTTGTTTTGATGTTTGTGGGTTTTTAGGTTGGTTGGTTGGTTTGGTGTTTTCCCACTCTTTCCCCTCAGAGCTGTGCTGGAGCAGCCACTCCTTGCAGAAAGGAGCTCATGGCCTTTGCAGCTCTGTCCCTTCCTGGAGCTGCTGTCCCTGCAGCTCAGKGCACACCAGCAGGATTCTGTATCCCTGAGAACAGAGCAGGAATCTTCAGAGCCTGCTGCAAATACCTTCAGCAGCAATTTCTGCTCCCTCTGGAGCCCTCCCCCTTGTTTGTGCCTTCAGCCCCTGCACCACACGTGGATTYATCATCCCTCAGCAGAACCTGCTGATGCCAAGCCCTGGCAATCACCTGCTGYTCACAGGAGTGTAACAAACCTTAAACGGTTCTTCCTCGAATTCTCTTTCCTTCTGTGCCTCACAAAGGGGAAGGAGGCAGCCTGAGGTGAGGTGTTTTAAGATCCCAGTGTTGGCTGGGAAGCCCCAGGCACGATGTCTTATTTTCCAGCGTGCAGCTTCCTGCAGCTCAAAGGGGGAATAAAAAGGAAAATCTTTTTGGTTCAGGCAGCTCCTGTTACAATTCCCAAGGCAGAACTGGATTGAAAACAATGTTAAATATGGGTTACATTGCTCAGTGCTGCTCAGTCTGGGT